GGTAATTGTGATAATCTGATCTTAATGATTGTGGGGACTGCGCTTTAGGAATTTTTTAGATGAAGAACTTAAGTTGGTCGATCAGCAGATATATTTTTAGGGAGAATAGTTGAAGAATAGTACTCTCGTGACTATGTCGATGGCTGAGTGATTGAATATGGCCATTTTTTTTATTATCCTGTTGATTTGTTCTAGGCAAGCATGGCAGAAATTGGGTGCTATGCCTCCAGAAGAAGCTATGCAGAAGTATATTGGCATTGTTACAGAACTATATCCAACTTGGGCTGCTGGTTCGACCGTAAGATTTTTGACAGTCCTACTCCATTCTTGCTGTTTTCATCAGTTTCCTGTCTGTTTCAATTGGATTTTCTATGGTTAACCAATTTTCTATTTGTTGCATTTTCTTGGACAGAAAGGCAAAGGACGGGAGAGCAGTGCACCAGGAAGTGATTCTAAAGGACCAATGGGGCCAGTTTTTAGTTCATTTGTTTACGAGGAAGAATCTGGAAATGACTTGTAAGGTTCTTAGAACTCAGTACACAAGGCCCATGTTTCATTGATGTATTTTCTGTCTGAATAACTGAGGTATTTTGTTTTGAGTTACCTTGATTTGAATTGATATTTTGGGTATATAATGCCTTGGATATGAAATCAGCTGTTGTTGAATTTTCATTTCTGTAATCATGTGGCAATTTGTGCAAGACATTGCAGTGCCTGCCTATGCATGGCTTAAAAATTTTGTTAAAATTCCTTTATAATTTTTCCATATTCAGTCAGCAGATAATGTTTATTGGAAAAGAAATTAACAGTGCAAAAATGTTGTTTACATTCAGGAAGATGGAAGCTATTCATGCTATTGCTAGAGAAGGACAACTGGATCATTTGGTTAAATGTATTGAAAGTGGCGTTTCAGTAAATGTGAAGGGTTAGTTTTGACATGTCTTTTCTGTCTCTTCCAGTTTTCTTTCATTAACTTGTACAATATTCCAATGATGCTTGTGTTGCTGCTGAATATTCGGTGAGTCTGATATTGAAGTCAATGCTGAAGTTGTCTGTGGTGATGGTTGATTGTGCTGCTTTTGGAAAGAGCAGTTCTGTCTTGCGCATTCAGCTTCTATTTACTCACATGACCTGCACAAGTTAAAAACTGTATATGGACTTAAGTCCTGTAGAGCCTGTGAAGCATTGCTATTAGTTAAGAAGTATGCTTACGAAGTAGTTAAAAAGGTTTTTCTCTAAATTCTAGTTTTTTTTTTTCAACTATACTCTTGAATTGATGCTAACTAAAATTCAAACTATCAAATTCAGTTTGGGCTTTAAGTTGGCTGCTGCGTAGCTGCACCAAATATATATATATATATATATAATATTTTGTCGTTTTGTTTAATCACATCGGTTTAGGCAATTTGGTATGCAGATAATTATGCAATTTTGGTTGTTAGGAATTTGTATCTTCTACCTTTCTTGAATCATTGAGATATTGAAAAGTTATAAACTTGTAAGTTATGTTGCTGAAATATCTTCAGATCTGAAAGTATGGTGGAAACTGCAGTTTTAATTGAGAAACTGTCTGGTTATACTTCTGCTGATTCTAAATTGAAACCTATTATGTTTATGAATTTTATACATCATTCCTGATACTTGAGGAAGTTGTTTGGCTTAATAAAATTTAGTTGAATGAATATTCCAGTGTTTTAGTTTGTTTGGTACTGTGGCAGATAGTGAAGGTCGAACCCCGTTGCACTGGGCTGTGGATCGTGGTCACATCAACATCGTAGAAGCACTTGTTAGCAATAATGCTGATATAAACGCAAAGGCAAGTAATTGATGCGATTCATCTGAACTCTTAAAAATCTTTTATGTGGACGTGGATGAAGAGAATTATTAGAATGATGTTCTTAATCGGTTCAAGAATCTGATGTTGTTCCTCCAACCCTTACCTTTTTGTGATTTGTATCAAATACATGAGTTTAATACATACATATTTTTCCATTGCTCAGGACAACGAAGGCCAAACCCCATTGCATTATGCTGTAGTGTGCGAGAGAGAAGCCATTGCTGAGTTCCTTGTGAAGCAAAATGCAGACATCGATATAAAAGATAACGATGGTAGCTCATCTGTTGATCTGTGTGAGTTGGATTGGCCTTGGATGAGGCGTGCTGCAACATAGGTAGACTGATGGCTGTATTCTCTGTTTTTTTATTGGGGCTAAGCAGTTGTTGACAATTGTGGATGATGTATATTGGCTATATGAATATCTAACCTGTTCACCTTTCAAATTTGGAAAGATCTGGGGCATTACATTGTTTCTGTGCCCCATTCCCATCTCTTCTTCTACCCATATTTTCTATCCTGTTTACTTTCTATGTTCTATTTTACTAGTCAATAATGTTAGATATGAGATGGGAAAATATATGCTTGTTTTTATTGTTATAAATGGCAATGACATCTTCCCATATGCTATAAACTCTATAATGGTTAGTTACAGTCTCAATGTTTATGCACATATAAATACACGAGTGTATGTAAACACACACACGCATACACATATTCCATAGATATCTGGTTGTTCTATTTTCCTTTTTCTTGGCAGATGAATGTATTTAGCTTTTTTTAATGTAGGAGCTGAAGTTTTTCGTTTTAATAAGTTATGAAGTTAAATATGTAATCTACTCATAGAACAAATATATTTATGTATGTATATATAAGAGCTAATTTGGCAAAACACCCAAAAAAGAGAAGCCTAAGCTAAACCATATTTGGTAGTTGTCTTTCCACAACCTCAATTCCAACTGTCAATAACCGTTTTTCCCGCTACTACAAGGCATCATTACCCCAAAACAGAGCAAAATTAATTAAAACCCTCAAAAAATGAAAAGACGTTGAGACCCAAAAACCAAAAACCAGTCCGGAGAAAATCCAAAAATGCTCCTCCGGGGAAGAAAACAATGAGCCCACTATCTCTCCCTTCTTCTACATTTCTCCTCCCTTCACAGACCTCCTCCTTCGGTTCCAAAAATGGTGAGGGCGGTGGTTTTCATGCTCTTAGCCACCGCCTTCATCTTCTTCACCCTTAAAAAGCAACATGGTCAGACGCAGAACCGCCGCCCCACTCGCCGTCTTGGCTATAAGATAAATATCAACATTCCTCCGGCGCCCGTCTTCGACCCTCTCGTCACTAAAATGGAGAGGCTGCACCAGGCTCACGAGAAAGGCCACTTATCAGATAATTCTATGGTAAACAGTCCGCCGGGAAAACTCGCCGGCGGCGAAGAGGGTGGTGGCGAAAACGATGGGGATAATGATCGTGACGATTATTTCACCGACGAGGGAAAGCTGAACGTTACGTTGAGGTTAATCGTCTTGTTCCCGTTGCTGGACACGGCGCCAAAAGATGGGTTTGTCTGCTTGAAGGAGCTGGAGACATGGAATTTGCAGCAAGCCGAAGAGCGTTTGATTTACAGAACGATCGAAGAGTTGAGACTGCGGGACAGAGATGGCGATGGCATGCTCAGTTTTAGCGAGTGCTTGCCTCGGTTTTCCAAGGAAGATATCGGTAATTTTTACTTCCATATATATATATGTGTGTGTGTGTGTGTGTCATGTGTTATATATGTATATATATATATATATATGTTGTCTTCATTTGATAAATTATTAATTGTGAAACCGAAAGCAGAGAAGAACGAAACTGGACATGGCGAAGCTGGCTGGTGGAATCAACAATTTATCAACGCAGATGCTGACAAGAATGGACTTCTGGATTTCGATGAGTTTAACAAGTACATATATATGTATACACATATACAACATATACAGCAGACCCATATAATATCTCATATATCTCATCACATTTTTTCTGATTAGTCACTTGAAACAAAAAATTCTCTCGCAGTTTCTTGCACCCAGAAGACAGTAACAACGAAGAAATTCAGAAATGGGTTCTGAGAGAAAAAATAAGGTGACTACATACATATACATATATACCCATTTACCATATACAGCACATAAATGTACATACTAGAGCTAATTAAGGAACTTCGTTCTTTTCTGTCTTGGGTAAATGATGACAGAGGCATGGACTCTAATGGAGACGGTAAGCTTGACTTTACAGAATTTGTTAAGCACACTTATGATACTTACAGAATATACATGGAATTTGAAACTCTTGGAGCCCAAATTCCCACTGCCGAGGAGAAATTTGCTGACCTTGACACTAACAATGACGAGTAATTCTATTTACCCTTTTCACTTGTCACAAACATTTAATTAACATTATATTTTATAATCTCTATTACGTCAAATTGATTAACAGATTTTTGGTCGTCGAGGAGTTGAGACCAATTATCCGTTATCTTCAACCGGGAGAGCTTTCTTATGCCAAATATTATTCTCATTATCTTATTCGTGAGGTAAGTTCTGATATCGTTAATTTTTTTTGTTGATATATTAGACGTTTCAAATAAATTCAATTCTTCGAATAAACTTATGCTTTTTGAACGAATTGATGTAGGCCGATGACGTTAAGGACGGAAAATTATCGCTTGAGGAGATGTTAAACCATGAACATAGCTTTTACAATACAGTTTTTGATGATATCATGGACGATGACTATGATGATTTCCATGATGAGCTTTAAGATGTTATGTTGTAGTTTTTTTATGTATCGTCGTCTTCGATTAATTTTCTTGAATTTAATCAAATAGAGAATAGTTCTAATCGTTTGTTTTGAATTAAATTATGTTGTAATTAGTATACTGATCGTTTAAATACGTATAAGTCAAATAATAATTATATTTTTTTCAAAAAGATAAATCCTTTTAATTCTAAAAATACATATATATATATATAATTTTGGCATAAGTTTAATTAAATCACATTGGACCGTTTTTATTATTTTTAAATTTATTATTATGAATTATCGTCAACAGAAATAATAAAATATTTGATTAATTTATTATATTTTAACATATTTAAATAAGTCAAAAGAGATTATTTAATTTTTATTAAATAATGATCGATTCTTTTATAATATTTTAAATTAATAATTATAAATTAATAAAAAATTATCACGTAATTAATACATAAATTAATTTAAATTATTAAATACAATTAGTTTTATTATTAGATGTTTTAAAATAATAACGAGATTAAAGAGGTCATGCTTGAAATAATAATTACCTTAAATACATTTTCCACTTTTAATTATGGAGACGAACCCCATCAGCCGTAATGGACATCAGTAATGTTGTCAACCGCTTGATCTTGTGTAAAGCATCTTACCCGTCCAGCTGGTTGACTTTTGCCAGCTTATGATGACTAATTAGTACCATTATTATCTTAATTATTTTAATAAAATAAGCTTAATTAAACTAATGTAATATTTTAAGCGCTTCTTTTTTTGGCTCTTATAATAATATATAAAGCTTGAACTAACAGTTTAGCATTCCAACAAGTGGGACCCACAAGAATAATTTGAGAGGAGGCCAAATTATGGAATTCCAAAGAAAATAAAAATTAGAGGGTCAAAGTAATTTCTTATTTCAATTATAAAAAATTTTGTCCCACGTGTTTGGGAGTTAAACGGCGATCATTGTTGCCGTTTTGGGGAGCAAGTGAATCAGTATTCAGTTTGTCATTTTGGTAATTATGCGAGGGTATATTTGTACATTCATCCTCGAAAAAAAAATTGGATTTAGATTTGTGTTTTATTCAAGTCCAGCTTCACATCCGCGTCTTCTTCTCTCTCTCTCTCTCTCTCTCTCTCCCCTCTTCTCTCTTTCCCTCTTCAACTGTTCTCTCTCTCCTAGGGTTTCAGTGCGCCGTTTCCCTCTTCGCGACTCAGTGACCAGACTGTCTGCGTCAATTTCGTGATATTCCAGGTACTTTGATCGATTACCCCCAGGAAATTTTTCGATTTTGTTAGTAATTAGGTTTGAACGCAGTGATTCGGTTATTTGATCTCAACATGTTGATCGCTTCAACTTATTTTGAAACGGGAACTGAGAAAATGATCTGTATTCATGGTAATTTTACTCCGTTATTGCTGTTCCCTTGTTTAGTTTCTATTACCTGAGAACGTTTTCAATTTGATCTGATTGTATCTTCTGCTCTATCAAATCGGTTTCGATCTATGCATTTATATCATCTGACTCGTTATTCTGGCTATTTATAAGTACACGTATTGGTAGAATAGGGAGTTTGATGGGTCGATTTTGTTCCCTAATGTATTTAAATTTGAAGATTTTAGTGTCCAATGGTTCATTACGATTTGATGTATTTTGGTTCTATTTGTTGAGAAGGTGAACTGAAAATTTCGGTTTGTTAATTTGTGTGATCTGCTGACTTTGTATCGTAGAATATATGCTGTTTGGTTGTGACACTTTTTTGATTGTGTTTTGGTAAACTGTTGAGTGTATATCTTCCGCGTAAATTGTTTATATATGTCCCATAAAAAGATTAATCTATTAAATGAAGTCATCAATTAGTTATGAAGACGCCACGTGTTTTCTGATTTGGATATGCATTATCTGATGATAGTATTTAACATCCCTCATGATGGTTTTGGAAGTCTGTTCTGATCAGGTTGTCGGAGATCCTTTGTTTTTCGTAAAATATAACCTTTGTATTTGTATGTCTGTGCTTCTTCACGTGTTAGTTAATTTTGCAATCTTATTTTAATACTTTAACTAGCGAGTATAGAACTAAATAATCAAGCTCAAATTAATTTGTATCGTTAATTTCGTTGTGGAAGGGAAGAAAATAAAATGTTTAGTAATAGTATTAATTGATGACGTTGGGGAAAATATGAATTTGGGTCAAATTTTTAGCTTTTGATTTCGTACCTGACAGACTAAGTGTTTGACCTTGGCAGATATTATGGCGATGGAAGTTACCCAGGTGCTCTTGAATGCGCAGTCAATAGATGGAACTGTGCGCAAACATGCCGAAGAAAGTTTAAAACAGTTTCAGGAGCAAAACCTTCCCAGCTTCTTATTATCACTCTCTGGGGAGCTTTCAAATGATGAAAAGCCTGTTGATAGCCGTAAATTGGCAGGTTTGATACTTAAAAATGCCTTGGATGCTAAAGAACAGCATAGAAAATTTGAGCTTGTTCAAAGATGGTTGTCACTGGAAAGCAGTGTGAAGACCCAGATTAAGCAATGCTTGTTAAAGACCCTATCTTCTCCTGTACCTGATGCTCGATCAACAGCATCTCAAGTCATAGCCAAGGTTGCTGGCATTGAGTTACCTCAAAAGCAGTGGCCTGAGCTGATAGGATCGCTCTTATCAAATATTCACCAATTACCGGCTAATGTCAAGCAAGCCACTTTAGAGACTCTAGGATATTTGTGTGAGGAAGTCTCTCCTGATGTTGTAGACCAAGACCAAGTAAATAAGATACTCACAGCTGTAGTGCAGGGGATGAATGCTGCTGAAGGGAATAATGACGTTAGACTTGCTGCCACCAGGGCTTTGTATAATGCTTTGGGCTTTGCTCAAGCAAATTTCAGCAATGATATGGAGCGTGACTATATCATGAGAGTTGTCTGTGAAGCAACTCTATCCCCTGAGGTGAAGATAAGACAGGCGGCATTTGAATGTTTGGTCTCTATTTCATCAACATACTATGAAAAATTGGCTCATTATATCCAGGACATTTTCAACATTACAGCAAAGGCTGTGAGGGAGGATGAAGAACCTGTTGCCCTTCAAGCCATTGAGTTCTGGAGTTCAATCTGCGATGAAGAGATTGATATCTTGGAAGAATATGGAGGTGATTTTACAGCAGATTCTGATATTCCTTGCTTCTATTTTATCAAGCAGGCTCTCCCTGCACTTGTTCCTATGTTGTTGGAGACACTTCTTAAACAAGAGGAGGATCAGGATCAGGATGAAGGAGCATGGAATATTGCAATGGCTGGGGGAACTTGCTTAGGTTTGGTTGCTAGAACAGTTGGAGATGATATTGTACCGCTTGTTATGCCATTCATTGAAGAGAATATTACAAAGCCAGACTGGAGACAAAGGGAAGCAGCAACTTATGCTTTTGGTTCAATTTTGGAGGGGCCTTCACCAGATAAGTTAATATCAATTGTTAATGTTGCTTTAAGCTTCATGCTCACTGCTTTAACCAAGGACCCAAGTAATCATGTGAAAGACACCACTGCATGGACCCTTGGCCGGATATTCGAATTTCTTCACGGTTCTACTACAGACACACCTGTTATTACTCAGGCAAATTGCCAACAGATCATTACAGTTCTACTTCAGAGCATGAAGGATGCTCCAAATGTTGCTGAGAAGGCCTGTGGAGCTCTCTATTTTCTTGCACAAGGCTATGAGGATGTAGGCCCTTCATCTCTCTTGACTCCCTTCTTCCAGGAAATCGTTCAATCACTTCTCACTGTTACGCACAGAGAAGATGCGGGGGAGTCAAGGTTAAGGACTGCTGCATATGAGGCATTAAATGAAGTGGTGAGGTGTTCAACTGATGAAACTGCCCCCATGGTGCTACAACTGGTGCCAGTCATCATGATGGAGCTTCACAAAACTCTGGAGGGACAGAAGCTTTCATCAGATGAGAGAGAGAAGCAGAGTGAATTACAGGGCCTTCTGTGCGGTTGTTTGCAGGTCATTATTCAGAAGTTGGGGTCGTCAGAGCCAACTAAGTACGTCTTCATGCAATATGCAGATCAGATAATGGGTCTCTTCCTCAGGGTTTTTGCATGCAGAAGTGCTACCGTGCATGAAGAGGCAATGCTTGCCATTGGAGCACTTGCCTATGCAACAGGGCCTGATTTTGCAAAATATATGCCGGAGTTCTACAAGTACTTGGAAATGGGTCTTCAGAATTTTGAGGAGTACCAGGTCTGTGCTGTCACAGTTGGCGTAGTGGGAGATATTTGTAGAGCTCTGGAGGATAAGATTTTGCCATATTGTGATGGAATTATGACACAACTTCTTAAGGACTTGTCAAGCAATCAGTTACACCGGTCAGTGAAGCCTCCAATTTTCTCCTGCTTCGGTGACATAGCACTGGCAATAGGGGAGAACTTTGAGAAATACTTGATGTATGCCATGCCCATGCTCCAGAGTGCAGCTGAGTTGTCTGCTCACACATCAGGTGCTGATGATGAAATGACAGAGTATACCAATTCTCTCAGGAATGGAATTCTCGAGGCATATTCTGGTATTTTCCAGGGTTTCAAGAACTCTCCGAAAACTCAGCTGCTGATTCCATATGCTCCCCACATTCTCCAGTTCTTGGATAGCATATACATGGAGAAAGACATGTGAGTCATTCTAAAACATCTTCTATGTTCTTTTACTTGATGAGTAACTTATCTTCTCATTAA